AAGCGCCGTGAACGACGGCGTCTTCAGGGGATGTCAGCCGCCTTATTTGGAGTTGGGAGTTCAGAAGTGGCGATTTTAAAGCAGCATTAACACTGATCGTCTTCTTTTCCGTCTGTTCCGCTTCATCGCCAACTCTTCCATCTTCATAAAGATTTCCTCAGAATCACACCTACATGGGTTCACAAGATGGGGCCATTGCAAAACCCATGGACAATCCCACTTACAGCCCACTTTGAGAGTTTGAAAGATGGAGCCTAGATGGGGTTGTGCACTCAGCCTAGTCGGGGCCCCTGTAGTTCCCATATGGGCATTTGACATGGGCCATAACCTGCAGACAAATCCTACACGAGGCCCTGTTTGATATTTTATATTTAAGTATCTGTTTCTGAAACCGTATTTAGTTAATTGGCCCTTTTTTTGGTTTGGAAGGAAGGTCAGAAACCATGAACTCGTGGTGCTGCTGGTGCTGGAGTGGATTAATGAAGGCCAGAGCAGTTTGAAACAAAACAATTTAGCTCCCTGACGCTTTGCTGAATACCAACAAAGTACCCAGTGAGATTTCATGTCGAGCCAAGCGTAAGTGTCTGCTGTTTACCTTCAGGCTGGAAGAGCATTTCCTCCCTGCTGTTCCTCTGTTGCAGTTTATTTTGACATTTCCATCGAGTCATGCCTTTCCCTAAACTAATTTTCTTCCCTTCCCATCCATCTCTTGACTTTTTTTGTTTCGCTGTCAGCATGCTGAAGCTCCTCCAATTTTCTGTCCTCAGCATCTGTCTCTCCTTCACCTTTCGCCTCCTCTTCTTTCTCCACATATTTTCTCTAAAGTGTCACCCTGTTTTTCTCCTCTCTCAATTCAACCAATCATCATTTTTCACCCTGTCATCAAACCATTTGCCAACCTTTTATGACATTTTCTCCTCATTTTTTTTTTTTTGCCCTTTTAACTCTTCTTCTCATCTGTCCAGCCGGTTCCTGGCATGTTTTACCTTTTCATTGCTCCTCCGTTCCCCATCGCCATCTTGGCTACTTTCCTCCTCACCCTGTTCTCTTCTCTCACTCGTAAGTCGCTTTGGACAAAAGCGTCTGCTAAATACATAAACATAAACATAAACATTTTCCCATTTCATCCACTCGCGCCCATCGTTTGTCTGTCCCAAACCTTCCTCTCTACTCTGATCCACACATCTCCCTTAGTTGTCATCTCCTGTCCTCCTTCCTCCCTCTCATCCTCATCATTATCCATCATTATTTATTCATCTCCACCATCTAAGAGTCTTTTTTGTCTATTCGTCTTTTTACCTCTTCTCATCTGTCCATCATCACCCCCTGTTTTGACATTTTCCCCATTCTCATCTCCTAACCGTCTTCACCCATCAACCCATTTTCATCTCTCTGTCACTACGCCGTAACACATTTCTCATCTTTTCCTGCAGCTATTCCTCTCCTTCCTGACCTTTTCCTTTCCACTTTTGCTGTTTTAGCATCTTTCTTTTGTTTTCTTCTAAAGTGCAGAAATGCATCAAACAGCTGAATCACCTTCCTAAAGATCCTTTTTACACCATTTTCCAGTGAAAACTTTAGCCTCTGTACACTGCAGGATGCCCAAATGATTTGCAATTTCAGTTTCAACCACCAACCTTTCACCCTGCGACATTTCAATAAGATTAACATTTTCTTTCTACCCAGGCCATTCAGACCCTTTGCTTTCATCTCATGCACTCAAAGTTTCTATGTGGTTACAATTTCCACTTCTTTTTCAGCCTTGACACAAATGGTCTTTTAGAAACCATGCTTTCAAAAGCTCCCCTGAATAATAATAATAAAAAAAACACCATTTCTACCACCTCGCTTCATGTTAGATGTGAAATTATTCCTCTTAAATCCTGAATTTGTTCAGTGCCAAGCATGTCTACAGTCAATGCTTTCTCCTTTTCTACCTGCTGGTCAAATAAATCCGCATCTTTAATGTAGGAACACCTGCAGCTGCTGGGTTACGTTTTGAGCTTTTGGACTGGAATCATCTCTGAAGCAGTTTGTTGGGAAGTCCTGTTCGTCACTCAGTGTTTGCAGTCATTTATCTTTGTTCCAAGAAAAAATAAAAGTGTTCGTTTTAGAGCAGAGTAGCCTCGGGGTTAGGGTTTTATAATTAAGATTTATGTTTTTGACCAACTTCATCTCAAAATTTTACCTCAAAGGATCAACTCTAAAGATGCCCCACCTGACGTTTTCAATTACTCGATGCTAACCAGGAACTGTAAAGAGGAGTCTCATGATCCCGCAGCAGGAGGCTTCCTAATTGGACCCCTTGTCAGCCCACCGTTTAGATGAACCTTGAAAGGGTCAAAACAGATCATATTCAAGTACTTCCACTTTTTGTTATTTGTTATTAGCAACGGCAAAGGCAACGGGAAATAGATGATAATGGCAGATCATTAGTTTGTTTGCAGATTAACATGAGCTGCGGGACCATGAATAATCAGACGTTTTAATTGTTGTGAAACAGTTTTTTAACTGCTTTGGGAAAAAGACAATGTGGTCGTTATTATAAAGGCACAGTTCTCTTTGCAGAATATTAAACAGTAAAAAAAAGGTTTCTGCCTGGATGGAGAAGAAACGAGAAGAAGAAGCTGGTTTACTTGATTTTTTAATAGAAAAATAGATATTTAGGGTCTTTTGAGCCCTGTCCAGTCACATTTTCCTCTTGAGAAAGATGCAGTGGTCAGATGTGTGATGATAAAGAATGGAGCCCTCTGCCCATCATCCACTCACAAATTGGTGCTGCACGGCCGATGGACACTGAAATAAAAAATCCGAAGGCTGAAGCACTCTGGTGAGCCAAGGTTTATTAGGTGCGAGTTAAATAAAGTAAATTACCATTTCAACCTTGGATGTGTCTCTGTCAGAGTTACCAAATGTGTAATAGCTCCAGTGGTTCGGGCCAAAAATGTCCGGGAAGCTTTGGCTGTATATTCTTCTCTTTGCTCCTCTGATCCCATTAAATACATTTCTTATTTCATTTATTTAAAATGTAATAAATGAATATAACTTGCATGGCAAAAAATGAATAATTTTTGATACCACTATGCAATCAGACTTCAATTACAACTGAATAAATAGTTTATAGATCTGCTTTAATTAACCTGTAAGACCTTGTTAATTATTAATGACCGTTTGTTGTAGATTAAGGGTGAAAAAGACACAAAACGGACCAAATCTATTATAGTATCCAACACAAAATGTCATTTTTCTTTGCTAAATACATAAACAAGCCTTGTAACATTAGCTGCAATTATTTCCTAACTCTTTACATTAAATTTTTATTGCTGAATATAATCACTCGCCAAGTAACCACAGTCACAGAACTCCCACCCCTCCTGCCAGCTATCATCCCAAGGTCACGTCCCCCTCATAACAGAGCGCCCTTTGCCACAGTAAACAAGAGAAAGTTAAACACTAGTCGCTGTTTTCTAGGTCCAAGCATATTTTGTTGTCTGTGACTTCAAATGGTGTTTTGCTTTCTGGGACTTTGGTAGTTTGCCCTAAAGTCGAAGTGGTAGCAGCTGGCTGTTTCTCCTCCTCTGATGTTGTTGAGCAGAGATCCTCTCACACCAGTGGTGATCTGGTGCTAAATACGTGAGCATGTAACGAGTGGCGGACCCAGGCAAATGTGTGGAAGTGCTGTGTTTTGTTGACACCAACAACCGGATAGTCCAGTCGTCGGTTTTGGACTGAGTCGTGTTATTGACTGAGGTTTTTTAGACAAATGTGAGGAAACCACTTCATTTTCAATTTCTTTTTAACCTTCTGGAGGCAGGCGTTGCAGATGTGCAACAGTTAAAACCTACCTGGTTACTCCACATACGTGTTTCATGAGCATTTTTTAACTCAGAAGCACACCTGTAGGACTTAGTTGTTCATCCTTTTATCAAAACTTATTTTGAGCCTGAGAGGGTTAATCTCCACAAAATATTTAAAGCTATAATATTGTAGAAAGTTGTTAAGAGTCATGAAAATAGACATTTTTGCTGCATTTTCCATTGTAGCTGTAACATTGCTTCTTGTATAATTTGTTCAGCGAAAATCTGCCTGGAGCAAATGCTTTCCTTCTTGCAGAATCTTCTTGATCCAGAATTTCAGACTGTTGTGATACTTTAAGAGATATTAACTCAATTATATTATGCACGACATACTTCAGAGCACCATGTCAGCTCAGATTTAACAGCTTGAAGACACAAACGGAGTGTCTAAGAGGTGCTATCCATCACAGCAGAGGAGCAGACACCACATGACTGCTCGCCGTTCGAAGAGTCCCTAAAGCTGAACATAATTGTTTGAATAGAAGTGAGCCGAAAGTGCAGCTGTTGTGAGAGGTGATGAATCACAGAGTTAAACAGCGAGTCATTCTCAGGCTGGATTTCAAATGTGGTGATTTATTCTGAATATATTGTCTTTGTGTGTGGTTTTTCTCTTTAGATTTACGGAGAACAGCCGGTAAAAATATCAGGTGTTCACGCAGTGGGTGGATTTTTTTAATTTCATTATGTTTTTAAGTGCCTCTCCACAAACCGATGCCAGTGGTGGACGTGTGATTTCTGTCCTTGGTCTGCTATCAGATGGTCTCATAGTTCTCATAGTTTACAGAGAGAAATCATTTAAAAAATGCAACCACTGCCTTCATGAGCTGCATTTTCAGAATCTTTTGTTGTGGCAAACCCATCTGGAGATTGGGCTCAGGTGCATTGGGTCGGTGCGTAGGTGTATGCGTTACAGTTTCTTTGTCTGATGCCAAAGTCCAGCTTTATCTGACAGGATCTCACAGGTCATGGTATTTTTTTTTTGATTATTTTGTTTTATTTGACATTAGCAAGAAACTGAAGACTCTTTTAAAGATTCTTGCTCACATTTCTGTTATTAGGTATTCCAAACCTTACAATCCAAACTGTTTAAAGTTGATTTATTTGCTAATCCTCCTTTTAAATTCTTCTTTTCCTCCAAATCAGAGCTCATTCAGAATGGCCGGCTGCTCACGCTGCCCCTGGTGGCCGGAGACCTGCACTCCCTTCTGGCCGATGAAGACAAGAAGCGACTGTATGTGGCCATGAAAGATAACCTTCTTTCTACAAGTCTGGATGACATAACGCAGAACCCTCGGAAGGTAGAAACGACACACATCTGAAGCACGACAAACACTCTGTTAGAATTAGAATAAAATCCAAAGTGATGGAGCTGATTCCTAAGAAGACTAATACTAAAGCCTGTGTGCATGTTCCTGTTTTCTCTTACACCCTCATTAGTATAAAACCATTTTAGTTACCATAGAAACACAAAGATGCACAACACTAAGTTGGTTTTGCTCAACTGGTTTACATTTTGAAGGTTAAAAAACTCTGAATAACAACATATACTTGTACTGTAAAAGATAACGCGCATGCTCAGTTTAAAGCAATTTGGAATTTTTCAAAACTGAGATCAGATTAAAGGACCTCCCAAACAAATAATTCAAATGCAGGTTTGGTGAGAAAAAAGTCATGGAAAGACATCTATAAGACCGTAACAATAGCCTAAGAACATGTTGACATGTAGACAGGTTTTTGAAAAATCAATAATCCTTCCCCGACTAGGAAAAAAAAAACTTGGGTCCACATCCCCTCCAATCTTAGGCATGGTAGCAGTTCCCCAAATCAGTGGCGTCTTTTTCAAAAGACATTCCTTGGACATGGATTAAGTAGGTGGCAGGAAATGCCTGTCCTTACAGTCGTCCTTTGCCTGTGGTCTTCTACACAGAGCAGAAATTCAGCTCCTAAGAACAAGCGAGTAAAAACACACGGCTAATGCAACCTACACACTAACATCGGCTCCACTCCTCTGCTCCGCCTGCCCCAGCCTGGCCTGGCCTCGAAAGCAGACGTGATTGAGCACATGGGTGGTCTCCAAAGTTGGTGAGAAAAATAGATATCAGTGAGGTCCTGAGCATGTTGGCGGGGCAAAAGAGCACAGAGAAGTCATTCGGTGTCTCCATTATTAAACAAAAGCAGTCTGAGCCGTCTTGCTTTTGGAGACTCTCAGACTCTGATATTACATCCTGCGTCTCTGGCAGCACCATGTGTGTGTGTGTGTGTGTGTGTGTGTGTGTGTGTGTGTGTGTGTGTGTGCGCTCCTCACAGCAGTGAGAGACAGAGAAAAGTGGCTTCAGTCAGAGACTCTGTAACTCCACAGCATCCAGATTGATAATGAATCATGCATGCGGGAAGCCCCAGCGGGCTAATTCTATCCGCCAATCAGAGGCTCCCTGGCGTGACTTTGAGCCAGCCAATCAGTCAGCAGTGGGTGTGTTGGACCAGTTCAGCTCCTGGCAGACCACCTCGGTAAGAGGGTTGAAAACACGTGCGATTGCACACAGGAAAATCCAAGGCTACCTAAATAAAAACACTCCAAACCCGGTCCAGGCGGACTGGAGCCGATTCTAGTGTGAAAGTGCCTGAACTACCTGATCACTTTTTCTAAGACATTTGATCTTCACTTCCAGTTTTCTGGGTTATTATTTTCTAAATGCATAAAAAGCTGACATCTGTTTCCGGGAGTATTTGACTTCCTATTGACCTTAAGAAAAAAAATGGCTTTTTGATTTTTTTGTTCCATGACAAAACTGACAAACACACACCAACTTAATGTGTTCCAGTCAGGTGACAAAATGGTTTTTGTTCAAATTTTGGCCTTCCAGCTTCCTAAATCATCTGCGTCAGCAGCTGCTCCGCACACCCGCCTGTGTTGGAAACAACTGAAGGTGTTATCATTGAGACTGGAAAAAAACTTTTAGCCAACAAACAACTTCATTTTCACTTTGTTGTTCTGTCTTTAAACATGATCAGGAGCAATTAAAACCTGTCAAACATGCAAATGGATGACAAACTTAAAGACAATCAAAAAGCTTATTTTTTTCATAGAAGAGTAAATTCCTGAGAAAATAAACATGATATCTACGCACGCACAACCCTGCAGCTTTAACATTGTCTCCAGACGGCCAGACGGACGCGCTTCTGGCTGAGTGGGTTCAGGGTCACAGCAAGGACACACTCCTCACAACTGTAACCTGTCATATCAAATCAATACCCTCATCAGTCAGATATGCATGAAAGCCATCAGAGGCCCAAACAGGTAGAAAGCAGACTAACTGGAGCAGATGAACAGACACCCGTCATGCCAGGCTGCCACCCACTCTGCAGGCAGCCGGCCAACAGAAGACAGCATTTAACTCCTAACTCAGGTCCCTGCAGGCTGTTAACTTATATATTATTACATCCAGTATTTATAGTTTGTTTATACCATCTTGGCTTGTGAGATGTTCTCTCCACATTTGTTGTTAAAGTGTTTTTATGCCTCACTTGCGATATTCAGATTTTTTCCACCAAAGCTTTATAATCTGTATTTTTTATGTCTGTTAAATCAAATTTTAGCAGTGGGACTGAAACACGACCGGCCCTTGCAGTTCAAGAAAAGGCATTTGTTTTTTAGGAGTCTGCAGCAGCCTAATGGTCACTGCAAGTTTGTGTTTTTGTGGCGTTTGTTTTCAGATCTCTTCTCTCGTTTTCTTCCCGTCACATGTTTTATGTTGTGAAATGCTGAAGTTTAACAGTTCCAGCCCTGTGGTGGGTTTCTAGCCCACGTTTGTCTTTTATGTCATATAAAATGACAACCAGCATGCTCTCCATAGTGGGATGATAATCTCCCATTAAGCAGCGTCTTCACCTGGTGGTGATCCTATAGTGGTGGTCCGTGTTCCTGCCAGTGTGTGGTATCGGAGATTGTGGCGAGCGCGATCACTAATCTAATCTGATCATCTTGGCCCGGCACCGGGCTCTGTGGGAATGACTCCATCGGGGAACAATTACTGGGCATTTTCAAATAGTTTCCTTTAACCACCAACATTTGTCACTAATGGCTTTGCTCACATTGATATCACATTTTTAAGCCTTTGAGAGAATTTTCAGGTCCAGTTTTCTGTTTGGACCAAAATTTGCTGAAGTCTGATTTCTTTCATTGTTTTTATTTTTTGTTTTTACCAAACAGAAATATTTTCTGAAGAGTTTTAATCACTCTATGTAGATGTTAAATTATCACTTTTGACCTCTTCCTCAGAACGCTGGTCTCTGAGGTAATGATTGACTCAGGGAAATATTTAGATTAGTCACATTGCTGCCATTGGACTCAGCCTTGCCTCTTTCTTTTTGCACATAATCTAAGCTTTAGGTATTTCCTTCCTTATTAGATTTACTGGAATACATTTGACTAGCATCCATTTTGGAATATTTAAGTTTAAACAAAGCAGTGTGTTGCCATGAGGTCAGATAAATGTTGTTTTGGGAACATTCGTATTTAATTTTGCAGTCTAATAAGAAAAAAATGCACTGTAAAATCTGATTAGTCACCCTTACTTTAAAAAAGCACGCAAACCAATTGCACTTAAAACAATAAGTAAACAGGAATAGTAAAATTCACTTAAAGAGCAAATTGCAGGTTACATTTTTTTCTAATTCATATAAAATGCTGTCCAAAAAATCCTATTTGAAATGTTTATCGTGAATATTCAATTTTAAAATGCATAACAGCAGAGTTTTCTAGTAAAAAGTGGCCTTTCTCAGCAAAGCTTCTAAAAAGGCTCATTTTTCTAAATGTGAACCTCTGACGTAACCAAAGGGAGTTAGAAGCTGCGCTGCCTCAGCTCAGTGTGGAGAGTGGCTAGTTTTAGGGTAGAGAGGTCGTGTTATCCAGTTAGTGTGTTTGTTTACTAGTGTTGGATTGTGTTCATGTTGATAAACTGTAGTCTGTGAAGGCTGTACTAACTCCAGCCTGTCTGGACATCGAGTCCACGGGTTTCCAGATAAGAGAAACAACGGCTCTATCTCCGTGCCTGAGGGCGTTTCTGCAGCTGAAAAGACGGACTTGTGTAGCCCACATCGGTCGGTACCGAGACAGAGAGGTCCGCGCTGGGCTCCGGAGACCCGTGGTGGGGTTTAAAAAATGAAATGCGGATTTCTGGAGCTCAGATCACCGTCAGAACCGGGTTAGAACCGACCACCAGAAGAGATGCGCGGCTTAGCAGGCCAGTTGGTTTCCGGGTCGGAACCGGATCAGTACCGCCGCCCAGACAACCAGGAGAGGATCATGTGCAGCTTTAAAAAATACCAACTGGACTGGCTCGCTGGTGGTTGGGTCGGATCCAGCTCACAGAAGCTCGCATGAGCTCCAGAACCGGAAGCTCTCCCTCTCTCTAAGCTAAACTACGTTAGGTGAACCAATATTAACGAGTATGAGACCGCTGACAGACGCTCATTAGTATTAATATTATTTTAAGTGACTAATACTATTTTAATTGTCTGGTACACAATAGTAACCCGTACAATATTGGGATGCTAGCACACGAGTTTAAGCTCGCATTGTGAACTCACCTGCTGCCCCCCTGCTGCTTCTCAATCTCTCTGCTTTGGCTGATGGTTTCTCCTTCTGGGTTGTCTCTGCTCTCTGTGGCGTGCAGCAAACTCATAACTTTATGGTTTTGGTCCATCAGAAGTAGAATTATAAATATTTAAAGTTTCCTCTGTGTCAGAGCCACATTAGAATCCATATTTTTCTCTGGATCAAGCTAACAGGACTCCCTCAGCTGACGTCACTTGGTTTGGCCCCCCTCCAAAAAAACTCTCACAAAAATAACTCTAAAAGCTTAAATAATTTATGTTTGTGTAAAAAACAACGTTTAAAACGAGTTTCTATTATGTTTCTCTAAACATCGGTTCATGGGAGTCTCTAACCTGCAATTTGCTCTTTAAAGTAGGACAAAGCTGTACATAGTGCTTTAAAATATGCTCACTGAGCATTAGCAACACCACCACACAGCAGAAGCTCCTCCAGGCTTGTGTTATTTGTGGAGATAAAACATCCACTTTGCTGTTATCCAATCTGGATTGAGATGTCTAAATATCAGGAAATAAGACTCCAAAGCCTGCCGTCTGAAGCTCAGCTGGGATGTTTTTAGTTCCAAGACTTGGTGCACCAGTATATTTTCCCCCCAAAAAATGACTTACAAGGCATTTATTCTTTCTTACTAGAAACCACAGCAAATGTATTGATTAAACGAGTGATCCACTGCTGCAGTAGCAAATATACAGAACAAGATAGCTTTTAAATACAAACATGGTCAAGGAACGCTCACTGCTCCAGCTGGCTGTCATGCCTGGGCCATGTCCGCTGCAAACGAAACCCAAATGACCAGAGAAAACCAGATAATGCTAAACACCAGTCACTGTTTTCTAGGTCCAAATGTTTTTTGTTTCTGTAACTTCAAATTATGTTTTTCGTTTTGGGACTCTGGTAGTTTGTCCTAAAGTTGAAGTGGTGGCAGCCGGCTGTTTCTCCTGCTCTGATTTTATTGAGCGGAGAACCTCTCACACCAGAGGTGTTCTGCTGCAAAATGCACGAGGGCATAATGTGTGGCAGACCCAGGTAAATGCAGAAGTGCGGCAGTTTGGTGAGACAGACAACCACATGGTTCAGTCATTGGGTCTGGACTGAGTTGCGTTATTAGGTTTTTAGACAAATTTTGAGAAAACCTCTTTGTTCTTTTTTTTTTTAATTTTTTAATTTTTATTTCCACAATATAGTTATAGCTATACTGTGTTAGGACGTTGTTAAGAGGGAAAAAAAGATTTGCTTTTGCCGCACTAAGCATCAGTAAACTGGAAGATGATTTCTGTGTATATTTCAGGTGTAGGTATGCTGGTGACGTCTTGTATCTTAGTAAAGGGTGGCCTAAAGTCTTGATTAACACAAAATGTTTTAGTGATGTTTTTACAGTGCTCTGAAGAAAAAAAACTGATAAATTATAATATTGAGCAAATTCCATCTTGTCATTCCCCCCCCCCCCCCCCCCCCCCATCCTATTTCAGGACCCGCACAAAAGAAAACAAAGCTGACAACAAGTAACCCCAACCCAAAATTAATGCCTACGTTGTATCTACCATATAAATGAATGACTCCTGGGGTGTAATCATTCAGTCAATACAGACGTCCATTTCATTCTGCAGGTGCAGACAATTACTAGATTAGTCATGCTGTCACCATCACTGCAGCTCTGACAGTTTGGCCCATTATCAGGATTCAGCAATGCTGCCAGTTGGATTTTATTTCCTCCCCCTGAAGCTGCCACTCTGCTCAGGTTTTTTCTCTCTCTCTTCCAGATTAATCATGTGCTATTGGCTCTCCTTGCATGGCTTCCTTGCAGAGCACCTGCCAGTCCCAGAAGCTGTTTATGCAAATGCTGAAGAGCAGGGAAGACATTTTCTTTAATCTAATTATTTTTCTCTCTCTTCGTTTGTCCTCTCCACCTATTGCTCCTTGTAGCTCTTCTGGCCAGCAAGTCCGGATCGTGTCCAAGAATGTCTCATGGCTGGGAAGGATTCAGAGGTGATTCAAGGCATACTCACATCCATACGAGAACAAAAACATGCAACACGGTTCTTCCTAGATCACCGAGATGGCAGAAGCTTATTTAAGTCACTAAACAGGTCGGCCCTTATGTGATCCTACCAAAGACGAATCACCTGAAATGTTCTTCAAGAATAAGGAAAACGGTTGCATAAGTGATTACGATCTACTGCGGAACTGAAGTTGAATTAATCTGATTTGTTTGGGAAATGTAAACAAACACAACCTCCGATACGGGCGGTGAAGTCAAGATTCAGGTTGCGATTGTCCAAAAAGGACAAACATTCTTTGTTGTGCACAATTAATTAACCAAACACTGCCTTTTGTATATTTGTGTTTACTTTCATTGTTTTTGTTTGTGTGCATCTTTCTGCTTGACCAGCTGGAGTGTGCTAACTTCCTACGAGTTCTGCAGCCGTTCAATCAGACCCACCTTTATGTGTGCGGCACGGGGGCCTTCAACCCCCGCTGTGCTTTCATAGCATCCAGCATATTCCACCAGGTAAAGCTTCAAACACGTTCTCTCATACACATTTATGGGAAAATTCACTCTTTTTATGACAAATTTGATTTCTAAAAGTTAGTCACTTTGTCACAATGACCAGATATGGAATCCCTCTAACTGATATGCTTTTATTTATGCATTTCATCAAAAAATTCCCAATGGACACTTATCATGCTAAATTCACCTTTTGCATCCTTTTGTGTGCTGCTTTGCGGGTCTCCACTGCCTCAATAAACACTACAAACGTGAATAAACCCAGAATTAAATGCTTAAAGTGACAGTGTGTATTTTCCCTGGTGGTAGGGGGCAGTACGTATGTAAATCATTGCAAGCAAACAACATTTTTATGTTTGACTAAGACCTTAGCAACAGATGGCCATTAGGGTCAAAAATCTCTGGGAGCACAACCTCCAGCAAAAATGACAAGCACTTCAGAGTCCCTTTCATCACTGGTAAGAGTGAAAAAGTACAAGTGTAAACGTTTATGAATGGCGAAAGTTTTGTAACCGTTTGTTACAAACCAGTAAATGCATTTTTTCCTCACAGGCACCCATAGAAGGAAACCTGACATTTAATATCGCATTGCCCAGAGACTCACCCCAAAATTCCACTATCTCCGCTGCGCTCCGCTCCGGCACGAACTCCGCAGCAAAAACGGTCCCGTTGTAGTCACTCAGAGCAGTGCGCCGCCCGCCATTCCACCATCCGGCAAAAATAGGATTGATTCTATTTTTGCCGGACGCCGGAGCACCTCCGCAGTCAATGGACAGAAATCACAATCGCCCAACAGGAAAGGGAGCAAGCACAACTTCCATTATTTCACAATAAATCGATGAACAAAAAGCGTATTTTGTTTCATATGCACAGGTTTAACAACTTTTAACAACTATCAATGGCGGTTGAACTTTAAATGCACAAAAATAAGCCATAAATACAGTTTCCGCTATCAAAGTAGTCACACTTTGTTGATCCAAACACTGCTGATCTCTCAACACAAATGATGGGCAGATTAAACAGTTCATTTCGATGCTTCCCCCCCTCAACGGGTGTTTGGATCTAACTTCCGCGATTATTGCTCGGACTGTATCGCAAGATCTCGAAAATCCCGCGCATGCTTGTTTGCGCACCTCAGGTCTCCGCACCGGAGCGGAGCCGTTGTAGAGCGGGTATAGTATCATTTGAGTTCGGAAGCGAGCGGCAGCGGAAAGCGGGGGCGGGGCGGAGCGGAGATAGTGGAATTTTGGGGTTAGACCTGATCCCACGTATTTTAAACCAGACTTTTGTGGTTATGTTACAAGGCCGCCAATATTTTTCAACAACTGGGCATCATTTAATTTATTTTCAAGAATATTTTGATGGATATTTCCAGAGAACAATGGTAAAAACTACACACTGTCGCTTTAAACTGAGCTGTTTCAAAAAGTCCCCTTTTGTGACATCACAATTGTGGAAATTAGCATAGAACCACCTCTCATGGAAGAGAGAGCTGCTGCTGGAGGAGCAGCGACTGTACTCCAAGCCCTTCCCAGAGCTTTTCAACCTCTAGCATCCTGATCGTGAAATGGGTGGGCATGGCCAACTCCAGCTTGTTCTCTTGGTGTCTGCCCACATGCCCATCTACCCACTGGCATTTACCTTATGTCTTTTATCAGTAATATGTGGAGATTTGTTATTAAAGCTGAACTAAGCGACCCACCAGACACCTGGAATGTAGCTGGAATTTCAACTGTATAGATCTAATTCTAGAGGGTACGAGTGTTGTCTATGTTCAGACTCTTAACAATCAGGTAGTGTTGGGATTTTACACGATTACTTTTATGTGCATTCCTGCAGTTTTGAAGTTACATGTGTGCCATGAGGCAGCATTCACACATGTGTGTGAGAGAGCAGATAATCCCATGAAAGGCCATGTGAGATCAGAGCAGAGGTTGAGACATGGTTAGCTCAGGAGCTGGTGGTGCTGACAGGTCTGAGACTGGATTTCACACATTTTAAAATCCCTCCACTTAGCCTGATTAGCCTCACTTAGCTGCTGTGTGTGTGTGTGTGTGTGTGTGTGTGTGTGTGTGTGTGTGTGTGTGTGTGTGTGTGTGTGTGTGTGTGTGTGTGTGTGGCAAAGTGCTTGAGCTGACTCAGAATGTTTTTTCATGTCACTGGATGGAAAAATTGTGAAAACGAACCTTTTTATTTTACACAGACAGCTTCCTCTCTGTGTCTTCCTGTGAATCAGATTTTTTGTTTTATGTGTTTTCTATGACAGTCGGAGCATCAGATTCTCTCCTACAGCCTGACGGAGTGTGGGAAAGGAAAATGCCCCTATGACCCGTTCCAGAAAACAGCCTCAGCTGTTGTCGGTAAAGCCCAAACTAAGTAAACTATCGATTAGAAGCATAAAAAGTCACATCGTCTTTAAAAAACAGCTTTAATATGGATGTACCTCCATATCACTTCTAACATTTAAGACTGTTATAAATATGTGTTTGCAAGATTGGATGCTGGAGATGATGTCATTTACTTTTGAGGGATTATTTTGTGTCAGCTATTGCATAATTGTGTCCTTTTCTGTGTAGATGGAGAGCTGTATGCCGGCATCACGTCAGACTTCATGAGCCGAGACTCAGCTTTTTTTCGAAGCCTCGGCAGCCGACACGTCATCCGTACAGAGCAATACGATTCCACCTGGCTGCAGGGTAAAGGATCTAGGACCTAGGAATCTCTAGAACAGAAACACTCGAGTGTGCATTTTAAAATTCCTTTTGCACAGCCTCACTTTGAATGTGACGCCACTTAACCCCGACCGGTGAATCTTTGAATCTTGTGTTTGTGGTGATAATCGCTTACTTACATGCAACCACAAATAGACTCAGCAGGACTTGCCAAAGCATCTGGTTCAAGGTCACTGAGTGAAGAAAAGGTGTTTTAGCTCCGATTTAAAGAGAAACTAGAGTCTGGGATTTATCGGTGTGGAGAAAAGTACACTGTAAGAAATGACGTTTTAATTTACTTAAAGTTTTGTCAACTGGTTTTACTAAACTTAGTAGCTAAAATGTAACAATATGCATTTACTTCTAACACAACAAAAGCATAAGAATGTATATTACATTTAAGCAACTATGTTTAGTAAAGCCAGTTGACATAACTTCAAATAAATTCAACATTTCATTTCTTACAGTGTAGACTGTTGTGCAGATTAAGCCAGAATCTCTATTGCCTGTGAAGGTTTGCAGCTTGTTGAGAACATAACAATTCTTGACAAAGTGAATATTTTCAGCAGAAATCACACCAAACTGGATTGTTAACACCTTTATGACAAATGTTATAGATGTGTGTGTCCAGCACACCTGAAGCGTGTTAAGTGACTGTGACGAGACAGCAACATTTGCATTTGGAGATTTTCTTCTTGCACACTGATACACGCACCCCAACCTTTGGGCCGTCAGTCACTTACTATCAATTTGGTCCTGATTTACCCTCATCTGTAATTCAATCACGGCCCTTCCCAAAGCTGTTTCACACCTTTAGATGTCAACGTTAGTTTCCAAACCCTCTGACTGTTCTGAAAGGAAAGTTGCTGCTCAAAATTCCAGCACAATTCTAGATAATTAAGACCCCGATGCTCAAGCGAGGAACCTGAGAACCCTCACAGATGTGTTGAGACATTTTGGAAACTTCATTTAGCAGTTAATAGTTGCAGCTTAGCGGTGGCAGCAGCACCTAATTTAGCCGCACCTTTGAATCTTGTCTTGTAAAACAAATGCTGCGAGGTCATCTGAAAGGTAAACAGAAAATCATTTGTTCTAAATCAACATCTCTACGATCACCGTGCACACTGTGCTGGTGCTTTATCAGGAGCGTGTGTTGATGTCTGCCACTGATAACAACAACCGGTTGATGCTCTGTAAACTCACGTCTACCTTTATCACCCATGTCGTACTGTTTCACATTTGTTGCCTGGATATCGGTGGTCGTGCTTTGCCATGGTTCATTCGCTGTCATTTATCTGCCTTTGTGTGTGCGTGTGTGTCTCCAGATGCCCAGTTTCTGCGGGTAGCGCCACTGTCTGAAACTGATAACCCAGAAGATGATAAAGTTTACGTGTTCTTCACTGAGCGTGCTCAGGAGGCAGAGGGGGCTGCTGGGAAGGTGCTCTACTCCAGAGTGGCACGTGTGTGCAAGGTAGGGTGTAGTTTTTTCATGTAGTTTAGAAAAACATGTTTTCTTACGAGACGGTACGTGCCAGTCAGTGTGTATGTGCAGCTGGTAAGGTGTGTGACATAGACAGTGTCCTCCAAATGAAACATGTAGAAATCTTTGAACTCATTCTCTGCCAGCCATTTCCTGAGCAGAAAAGCCCTTTGCTGCTAGCGTTTTTCAGCGTTTTTACAGTTTTTTTAAGAGTCACAGAACGTTGCGCGCTAGGATGATGTCGACGCCAAAACTTCCAAAACTACCAAAACTACCAAAACAACCAAAACAAACTACCTCTTACATCAGGAAGAATCTGCGCGTTTCGAGCGTTATCCATTCTTTCATAATCCGTTGTCGAATTGTGATCGGCAGAAGTTTTTCCGGTTCGTGCCTCACTTTTTTTACAGCAGCGGCCCAAAATGATCTCCTAACACATGGATTTTCTGCTTCCTGATCACGTGACGTGTGACGTACATGGATGAAGATTGGCTTTAGAGCTGGGATGTTTGTTCTCACTATGCGGGTGTTCGTTCCGACACCCACACATGTTGTTGGCATTGAACGGTTGGATTCGAAATGACGACTTTAGTCGTCATTGGCAGTGAATGAGTTAAAAATAAAGTGAAACTCTAGGATTAGAAAAGCCTGACAGATCTACATCACTAAACACTCATGCACTCACCCTTCTTAACTCACGCCGGGGGAGGCTGTTGTTTGTTTAGTGTCCAGGAAACAGCAGAGAACGTCTTAGCTAGTAGATGCTAACCATTAGCACTAGCACCCCCACCACATGGCAGAACTCCTTCAGCCTTGAGTCATTTTTGGCGATAAAACATCAACGTTGTAAAGCAGTCAGAGGTAGAATCATGTTGCCGTTAGCCAATTAGAGGTGAGATGTCCAAATATCAGGAAATTAGTGTCTAAATCCAGCTGTCTGCTGCCTCCTTCTCCTCCAGCTGATTTCTATGTCCTGAAACAGGCGCACTGGAGCTTTTTTCCCCAGAGAACAACTTACAAGGCATTCGTTCTCACCACAGACAACTGCAAATGTATTAAAAATATGAGTGACCTAAATTGTTAAATATCTTCAAACTTGGTTTTACCAAATATTTCACCCTCAGGTTTTCATGCAAAACTATCTAATTGAATTGTTTTTATTCCTCTCTAGAATGACATTGGTGGACAGAGGAGTTTAGTGAACAAGTGGAGCACTTTTCAGAAGGCACGCATGGTGTGTTCAGTTCCAGGACCAGACGGCCTGCAGACACATTTTGACCAGCTGCGTGAGTAAAAAGCTCAACACTTTACATGCACAATCGGACCTTGGCTGCTCGTTACAATAACAGCTGGACTTCTGCCTGTGAATGCATCATAAAGAAGGAAGTGGGTTCAGACATTCAGCCGGTCTTCGTGTGTGTTTCTATTTAGACGTTTTCCTGTTCAAAGGTGATGAGAGAAGGTTCACAGACTAAAGAAACTTTAAAAGGTTTAACTGCTTCAGGATACCATAGTGCTGCATAGCTGCACTGTTACCACGGTGACCAACACCCCAATAGGTCACCTTGAGATTATCTCTGGGCTTCAGCCTCAGTTACTATGGAAACCCAACATTTAGTGTGAGTTTTTTCATTATGACAATAATAATAATATCCTTCTGTAGACTCTCTCTCTCTCTCTCTCTCTCTCTCTCTCTCTCTCTCTCTCTCTCTTCTCTGTGTGTGTGTGTGTGTGTGTGTGTGTCCATGTGTTGCTCAAGAAGAGCTTTGATTTGTTGAATATTTTTAACGAACATGATCTTAGCTGTTTTTGGTTTCACTTTGTCTGTGTCTAGCTCTAAATATAAAGAACCAACACATTAATATTAAATTGACATTAATATGTTTGTATTAAAGGTGCAGTATGTAAGAATATAGTGAGAATGTTACAGTGAGAAAATTCCAAAAAGAGTCTAATGTTTCAGTCATTTTGGAAGGAACGTTATACTGAAACGTAAGTCCTTTGTGGTGCACTACTTTCGGGGCACTACAAAAAAAAGCTTGTTTTTGTCGTGATCGCACAGAATTTGGGCATTTTTACACCCAGTTAACGAAGTTAATAAGACCTGCAGCACACCGAAGGAGGACGCGTCCCTGATTTTGAGAAGTGAAGTGATCACACAGTGGGCGCCGCACCGCACCGCTGAGCACTTCTTGCAAAAGTCACGTGACAGTCACAATATCTCATGGGATTTGAGAACAGGGAGCGGGAAGTGACTCTATTGTTTATATGTGATCAGACTTGCCGTCATGTTTTGTGAGACTCTAATTCATTAACTGTGGGTAAGCACACTATTTATTAAAATATTTTAAGATCAATAGTACTTTAAAGTAATCAAAACTGCAGTTGAGTTTGTGCCGTAAAGCTGGCCACTATTAGAGACTGGCCTTTATTTACCCCCATTGATAGCGAGACCGGCTAATGTAGGAGACCTGGCCGGTAATGGAATACCAGCTGGCTGTGGTGATTGTCAGTTTTTCTCGTTTCAAACCAAAGGAAAGAGGGACGTAACGACTGTTTACCATCAGTGACTGTGGGGTTGCCATGTCTCATGCGAGCTAAGACTGTAGCGCCAACTATTGTAATTTCACAACGGCCGACAAAAAGCTCCAGAGTTGTTTAAAGTGGTTGCAGTAACCAAATTTTACCACAAGATGCCATTTTTAATTAATTTCTACACACTGCACCTGAGGACTTCTGGTCGGTAACAAGATGGCGCCTGTGCTTGGCTTAGCCGCGGTCACTGGTCACTTTTTCAAACTTTTCTCCACTAACCTCCTCTTTTCCACCTTGCTCCTGTCTGCGATCATCTTCGGTAGTGTTCCTGCTTCCATCCCCTATGATCGACAGACTCTTTTGTCCTTCCGTTCGTTCACGATCGCCCAAGACTCACCAAGGACGTACCTTCCTGATTGTTTCCCCATCTGCTTCACCTAAAGGATCTTCTGATATCCTTTAACTCTGCAGTCAGAGACGCTAGGGTTTCCTATTTCTCCAACCTGGTTTCCCAGAGCAAAGGGAACCCCAAGGTGCTGTTTAACACCATCAGCAGCATCGTCTCTCCTGCCTCTCCTACAGCCTCCATCCACTCTGTTGCAGACTGTGAGAACTTCCTGTCTTTCTTTGTGGACAAAGTCAATAAGGTTAGATCTAGCATCTCTCCTTCAGCCTTATCGCTGCCTCTGCCGACTCCAACCAGACCCGTCATCCTAGATAGCTTTGCTCCTGTTTCTTTGCCTGAGTTAACCAAACTAGTTAACTCTATGAAGACCTCTGCATGCCCCCTCGACATCTTACCCTCATCTTTGTTTAAAAGTGCTTTTCAGTCCATCCGTCCCAGCGTGCTCTCTATTATTAATGCTTCTCTGGTTTCTGGTCAGGTCCCTGCTTACTTTAAGAATGCTGCAATCCACCCGCTTCTTAAAAAAACCGAGTCTTGACCCCTCTCTCCATAGCAGCTTCAGACCCATCTCTAAACTTCCGTTCATCTCCAAGATCTTGGAAAAGGTTGTGGCTAAACAACTCACAGCTGCTCTTGATGAACATAACATCTATGATAGCTTCCAGTCAGGTTTTCGTAGAGCTCATTCTACTGAAACAGCTCTTCTTAGGGTCTCTAATGACCTTCTGACTCACAGTGATGCAGGGGACTGTTCTGTTCTGGTCCTGCTGGACCTGACTGCAGCCTTTGACACTGTTGACCATCACCTGCTACTGGAGAGGCTGAGAGACTGGGTAGGCCTATCAGGATCTGCTCTGGAGTGGTTCTCCTCTTATCTCTCTGAGCACTCCTTTTCTGTGGCCGTCTCCGAGTTTAGGTCCTCCACCACCTCTCTTACCCACGGTGTCCCACAAGGTTCTGTGCTGGGGCCTCTGCTCTTCCTCCTCTATCTGCTTCCACTTCAGCACATCAGGAGCTCCTTCAAAGGAATCTCCTACCATCTTTATGCAGATGACATCCAGCTGTACATCTCCTTTAAGCCCCATGAGATGTCTAAGCTGCAGCTGTTACACACCTGCTTAGGCTATCAAAACCTGGATGGCTGGGAGCTTTCTTCAGCTGAATGAAGATAAGACTGAGATCCTCATCTGTGCCCCAGACAAGCTGGTTCCCAAAGTCAGCGACTCTCTTGGTCAGCTTGCTTCCCAAACCAAACCTTCCGTCAGGAATCTTGGCGTGACCTTTGACCCAGCTCTCACCCTGGATTCTCATGTCAGTTCTCTTGTTCGCTCTTCCTTCTTCCATCTCAGGAACATTGCTAAGCTGAGTCCCATTCTGTCCTGCTCTGAACTTGAGACAGTTCTCCACACCTTCATCTCCTCACGCTTAGACTACTGTAACTCTCTTTTCACGTGTCTGAGCAGAACCTCCCTGAACCGCCTACAGGTGGTTCAGAACGCCTGTGCTCGGCTTCTGACCAAGTCCTCCAAACACACCCACATCACCCCGCTTCTCCTCCAGCTTCACTGGCTGCCAGTCAACTTCAGAGTTCATTTCAAGATCCTGGTTCTGGTCTATAGGGCCTTACAAGCACCATCATACATTGGTGATCTTCTTAGTCCAGCAGATCCCTGAGGTCCAGTGATCAAAGCCTACTGCTTTTGTAGCACACCAGGCTAAAGACCAAAGGTGACAGATCATTTGTTGCTGTGGCCCCCAGACTCTGGAACTCTCTCCCCCTGAGCCTGAGATCAGTGGACTCAGTGGACTCCTTTAAAAAGCAGCTGAAAACTCACTTGATCAAGCTCATTTTGGTGTGATCTTCTTCACCACTCTCTTTATTCTGCTCTCCCCACCTATTCCATCTTCCTCACACTGATTTCCCTCTTTCCTATTCACTCTCTCTCTTTCTTTACGTTTTTAATCACAATTGTCTATTTTTTGCTCATTTGAAATATATTTTAAACCATTTTCTAAATTGTTTTTTTTATTTTTACATTTTTTGTTTTTGTGAAGCGCCTCGTGATTTTTCTCTTGGGAGGTGCTATAGAAAATATATTTTCTTCTTCTTCTCCTTTAATCAACAAATTGCAAAGAAAAAAACCCCTCAGAAACACTTAAGTAACATTTACATTGCCATTCATTTCAAATGTCATGGTCAATCCTGCAGAATTACGATGCAGCATTTGGTAGCTCTGCTGCTGGGCTGCATGGTGGTGCAGTGGTTAGCACTGTTGCCTCGCAGCACAAAGGTTGCAGGTTCGAAACTCGGCTGCGGGCTTTCTGCGTGGAGTTGCGTTTTCTCCCCATGCATGCGTGGGTTTCCTCCGGGAACCCCGGTTTCCCCCACAGATCACAACATGCCCTATAGGCTATAACAGGGGCGGATTTAGGACTGAAGAAGATCCGGGGCTTAACACACACACACACACACACACGCGCGCGCGCACACGCACACACGCGCGCGCACACACACATGTGACACGCACTAGTCAACATCATATATATATATGTCTTGTACCACGTAATTTTTAATCTGAAGCTACATATTCAGCATATTCAGGGCAGAGTATTGTTCCTGTTAGTGTTTAGTGTGAGATGATAGTAAATATTCCCTTTTTATCTCCATCAACTTTACCTGATAGTAAGCTAACTTTAGGCAAACCAGCAGCACCACAAATATTTTCAAATAAGACTCACAAACCTGAGTCAACACCAGTCTCATCAACGCTGGGGTTCTGTCGCTGTACTTTTTGTCTAAAAAAACATCCTTATGTCCATCTTCACATGCGTTTCAGGCAGAGTGTAGAAGAAGCCGGCTGCTGAAGGGCTTCTTCTTCAGTGGTGGAGGCTCAGGCAGGTTGTATACAAACTACTGCCAGCAGCGCCCTCTCTGTTGGACTTTGGTACTGCATGTTACTTCCGTGATTTAGATCCGGGGCTTAACGTGAAACATCCGGGGCTTCAGCCCAAGTAGCCGGGCCTAACGCCGCCCCTGGGCTATAAATTGTAAGTCGCTTTAGATAAAAGCGTCTGCCAAATAAATAAACATAAACATAATTTCTGCCACAAATAAACATATAACAATACAAATGGAATATTAAATGTTTAATGCTAATCTTAGATATTAGAGTTGTTTTAAGACTGAGGTTCACTGAGAAACATGTAGTACTTGCTCTTTTGAAATATGATTGGTCGCACTGAGTTTAACATGCAGGCTGAACCTGAACCTGGGGGGGGGGCTATGTTTCTCAGCTGGCTGGGGAACACCGTGGGATACCCCCAGAGACGGTGGCCTAAGTGGTT